TACAATATGAAAAAATGACATTTGTTAACACACATCCAGTCTCATCAGAAACACTAATGAATATTGGGAAGCTGTCAAGTTCACAGTGGTGAATGCAAGTTGTCCTAAATTCTAATACTTGCTTGGAATTTTATCATTAGCAATAAATATTGTCAGTTGTTTTTCCTGAAATGACAGTTTCACTTTGTTCATTTTCGGAAAAATATCTGCCAAATACCCAAGTCTAGGTAACTGCATTTTGTGTCAGTCATCTGTCAAAAAAAAATCTGTGGAAAAAATTGGCAACTCAAAAATTATACAAGCACTTTTCATCCAGACAACCATCATACTTTAGTGTGCATCAGAAGTGCTTTATGGGTACTTCCATTTCTTCACACAGAATAGTGAAAAGCCATGTACTCCAGGGTCAGGATTTAATAAAGTTAGTCATTGTTACAGCTTCCTCAAGAACATGTTTAAGGGAAGTGACTCTTTACTGTAAGTGGTGGTGAAGAATGTAACGACAACTAGTACAGTTTGGTGCTGCTCCTGAGTAGTGCTAAGACTACCCCCCATTGCTTCTGCACCATCACTGCAGATGTTAACGCAGTGAGGAAGACAGATAACATCTTAGTATTATAAAAATGATTGTGACCCTGTGGGCCCCCTGAAAGGGTCTCAGAAATTCCCAGGGGTCCTCGGAATACACACATCCATTGGCATAGTGAGGGAGAGAGAAATGGGAACTTATTGTTGAGAAGAACTGAGTTAGAACTTGAAGCAGAACTAAGATTTGGATAGGTGGGAAGGAGAAGGGAAAGGGATTTTAGGAGGGGGAGTCATGTGAGTAAAGGAGTAGAGGCAGGAAGCAGCATGACGTAACCAAAACACTGATGACAAAGGACGGTTGAGTTGGAGGGTTAGGAATGGGGAGTGATAATAAAATACGGGATGTGATGAGATTATGAGGGATCTTGAATACCCACTGGAAATGTTTACACTTTTTCCAGGGGTCATTGGGAGTAACGGAAGGTTTTTGAATCCTGTGACTTGGACATGTTGGTTTAGGACCATCCTTTTGGTAGAAGTGTATAAGGTGAATTTGATAAACAGGACAACTGGATGCAAGGAGCCTGATTGGAATATTAATTGTAATCTAGTTTGTAAGGGTCAAGAATGCAGGCTGGAGAGATGGCAATAGATGGAACAGGGTGAAATGTAGACTAATTGCTTCAGAGATAGAAGCAGTATGAGAACTAAAGAAGAAAAAGTCAAAGGTTACCAGCATATTATATTTTATAACCCCAATTTCTTGCCAAGGACATTGTTAGGGAATTGGACAAAAACTGTGTGTTTCTATATAAGGTCTAACATAAGACTTTTTCCTCTCCCCAGAATCAGAATGCTTCCTTTTTTTTTTTCTGGTAACAAGAACTGGATCATTGAACACATTTCCTTTTCGCCCTGCTGCCAGGAGGCTTTGTGCCAAATGTCATGTTGAAATCACAACAGTTACAATTGTCCCAGTGGTTAGTACATTTTCTTCCTTCTATTTTCTCTGGCCCTGAGTCTCTATCTCTATTTACAATTCATTAATCTTATTATTTTCACTCTGTTTGATGCCAGATGTCATAAGACCTCTTTTGAAAGAGATCGGTGGTGGGAGAGTCTTTTAGGATTCCTGGTACCAGTTCCAATTCGAAGGGGGTGTGTTCCTCACCCCCACACACACTAAGCAATTCTCAGACACCAGTTGGATATCAGAGAATTCAAGTCAATTCTGACACTATCTACCAGGAGATAGCATCAGAGTCCAAAGGTTAAGGACTCAGTCCTACAAAATTCCCTTCCACTCCCATTTGAGACTACAGTGGCAAGCCCCAGGCTGTTACCAGAGCTTCTGATGAACTGCCTACAGATTTGGAGGTTCCAACAACCTCCTTTCTAGGTTCAATCAATTTGCTGGAGCAGCTCACAGAACTCAGGGTAACGTTTACTTATATTTACCAGTTTATTAAAGGATATGAATCAACAGCCAGATAAAGAGATACATAGGGCAAGGTATGGGGAAAGAGCTTGGGGCTTCCATGTCTTCTCCAGGTCTGCCACTCTCCCTGCGTCCCCACGTGTTCATCCACCTGGAAGCTCTCCAAACCTAGTCCTTTTGGTTTTTATGGAGGCTTCACTGCATAGCCATGATTGGCTAAGTCATTGGCTGATTCAAACTCCAACCCCTTTCCCCTCCCTAGAGGTGATGGAGGGAACAGAAAGTTCCAACCCTCTGATCACATGGTTGGTGCTCCTGGAGCCGGTCCCACACCCTTGGGTGGGGTCCAAAAGTCATCATTAATAAGAAGACAACCATTTCACCTTTATGTCTCTGAAGCATTTTCAGGACACGTGGATGAAGACCAAATACATCTGAGAATTTTAGTCATCTGAATAACAAAATATGTATTTCTTATAAGTCATTATATCACAGGGAGAGTAAAGTCATGATAGTATATTAACCCTTCACATATTTTGTTCACTCATAGTATAGGGCACTCTACATCAGTCACATTTTACTCAGAACTTGAAGAATGCTAAAAACTCTGACGTACAGAACCAACGCACCAAGGTTAAATGTCAAAGAAATCTGATAAATTCAGTTAATCTGGTTGTCCAATTCAAAGCAGATGAGAAGCAGCAAATAAGAGGGTAGTGAAATACCTATTAAAAATAGGTAAAGTGATACCAAAAGAGATGACTCTTCATAATCTGAGTAATGGCAGAGAAAGATGGAGGTGCAAATTCCTAGTGATTATGGATTATGTGAATGCACCCAACACAGCTAGTAATTAATAAAGAACTGTTACGTGTTAGAGAAAACCAACAACTCACAGTTCTTGAGCTTTTACCATGTTCCAGGCTCTGTGCTTTTGCTATTCATGTATCATTATACTTAATCTTCACAATAACCATGCATTTCTTTCTGTGATTTCCCCCTTTTCACAGATGAATAAATAGTTCTAAAGAAATAAAATATACACATAAAGGCACACTGCTTTGTATGTGGCAGAGTTGTGTTTTAAGATTGGCTCAGCTGGATAACAAAGCCCATGTTCTTTATTCTTATTTGGGACTTCCTTCATTTTGACCTTCTTAATAATAATAATAGCAGTTAAGTTATGTTCAATATCCCTTTAAAAGATATCAAAAAATACTATGTACTGTATTTGAGAAAATCTAGAGCATAAGAAAGTTAAAGTAACCCTTATTAATTGGTATAGGTTTATCTAAAAATACATTTCCTGGGCGCCTGGGTGGCTCTTGGTTAAGCGACTGCCTTCGGCTCAGGTCATGATCCTGGAGTCCCTGGATCGAGTCCCGCATCGGGCTCCCTGCTTGGCGGGGAACCTGCTTCTCCCTCTGACCCTCCCCCCTCTCATGTGCTCTCTGTATCTCTCATTCTCTCTGTCTCAAATAAGTAAAATCTTTAAAAAAAAAAAAAAAAAATACATTTCCTCAGAGCACTTTACTTCTTGAAAATTCCCAACAATTGATGGGAAGAGGATTTTGTAAAGTGTTATTTATTATTTACAGTCCGTTTCAAACATTTTTGTGCCATTGTTTTAAATTAGTCCTATGGGCTTTTTTTTTTTTAATTTTGTTTTGCAAACATCTGTGCATTCGCATTTTCGTACCACAAAGAACAGCCATTCCTGTAAACTGTTAGTGAATTAAAGGAAAGAAGGTAATATTTATATACAACATTAACCAACTGATAGGTGTTGTCACATTGCTTTACTTTGCTGAGCACTAGATGCTCTGATTTTCTTTTCTTCGTCTTGCTTTGAATGAGCTTGTAAACACCAATTCTCAGAGAAGTAGTCTGAGAAGATTATGGCCAATGGATACATGGGACATAACAGTCCATGAGGGAGTGACTGTTGATGACAGGACTCTTGTGCTACAAACTCTGAGCAGCTGAAAGCGAAAAAATAACCCAGGGCAGTTCTTAGATGAGAAATGTCAACATCCTGTGAGAGATGAAGAGCCTCTGGGAGTGACGGATTGTAACTTTAAGGGAGCCTGCTGAAGAGGAATTGGACAGGAGCCTAGGAAAGAGCTTGACTTGTTGCCTTGGTTACACCCCCAGTGCTACCTTCCATAGTGTCTTCAGCTTGACAGTCTGAATAACGAGTTTGAAACTCCGTTTTCTGTTCTTTCTCAGATTATAATCACCTTCTGTGAGGTAGGCTTTTCTTTCAGAAGCATAAAATATCAGGGACTGGTGATCTGGGTCACATGTGACTCAGGTGACTGAAAAAAGGGAATAGTTCACATCGATGGATTTGGTGAATGAGAACTACCAGTAAATATTTTTGAGTTGTAACCAGTTAGTTTTCTAAGAACTGAAACTGGATATGCGAAAGCCACTTGAAATATGGTTGACTGTGAGGAATAGGAGGGTAGGTAGAGGGGCACCCTGTGGTTATGAAGTCACGTGAAAACTGTTGTTCCTTAAGACTGATGATCTTACAGTTGTGGATAGAATATTGTGACAGTCCATTAAATCATCAAGGATCTGGTTGTAGCAATATTATTTTGGTTCTAATGGATTCCAGAATATAAGATTGGGAGTTATTTCTTAAAGGTCCAAAAAGTGTAATTAAGACAACCATCTTGCTAGGTGAGAAACCTATAGAACATTTTTCTCAAGAGGTAGTACAAACTGAAATTTTGCTAATAGATTCAAAACATGTTTAAGAATGTTAATTCCATAATGTGATATGAAAGCAAAAGCAGGACACTTTGGGGATATTGAAACCTTAAGAGGCTAGCCTCCAGGAGGATAATCGTTCCCTCTCAGAAATATTGTCTTATACCACTTGACTTGTTTTATCACATCTATCACTTTATCTTTCCTCAGACTTTATTGGGAATATTTACAGCTTAATCTCACCCACATTTCACCAGTGTTACCATTACTGGATGTGAACTGTGCAAACCAGTGATGGCTGCTTCTAGAAAAGCATGAAAAAATCGCTATAGGCGTTTTCACACTCTTTTTCTTTTTCTTTGTGACTTTTCTTGTTCCTCTTCTTTTCTGCAGATCACCTTTAAGGAATGCTAACCATAGGTTTTAAAATGGCTGGAAAGTCTATGGAAAAACAGGAGAGAGAGGGGAAAAAAAAAAAAATGAAAGTCCCAATCCTAGCTCTCCCCACAGGGTTAAGGAAATGGTTCAACCAGAGACCCTGCCCTAGGAGGAGCCTCCCAACTGAGCGTCCCCCTGTAATTTTTCTGAAAGCCTGTTATCTACCCTAGTGACGGAACTCCTTGTAAGGAAGTTTTACTTTAAGAAGGTCATTCAAAGTTCTATTTTCATATTTCCTCAAGCTTGGTTCAGAAATCTGAAGACTATATAAAGTCATGTGAGAACTTCATTTGATAAAACTACTGTTTCCTTGGCATGGGCTGGAGGAGAATATTTAACAGTAATTATGCTTAAGGCAGTATGCCTTTATACTCACCCAGCATCTGAAATGTGATGTTCTAATAATAGAACCCCAGAGTTTATTTTAACACAAGCAAAAGGAAACAAAGGCAAAATGCGGAGACCCAGTCAGCAAGCTGTTGGCATGTGAATGTTCGTTCCCGTGTGTATAAACCAAAAAGACAGAAGCAGGAGCAGCATTTTAATCTACTGATCATTTATAAGTCAACTATATCTATCCCTGTTGAGAAATGGCTAAAACCCATCAGTTCAGCTATTTGCGAGAACTAGTTATAGCCATTTACCAACATAAAATAGCAAGATTGTTTTTTAGGAATTTGTACATCAATTTTTAACCTGCAACCCAAAATCACTTATGAACTAGGTAAGTATTAAGTTCTAAATTTTTTTTGGAAATTTTTGAGTCAAAATATATAAATGATATTTGGTAGTTATATGCACAGGTGGCATATAAACTATAACGGAAAGTATGTCAGCTTGGGGCAAGGATCTCTAAAATTCGTATCGCACATTCCAGTTCAATGTCTGAATTTCAGAAAACATGTCAACATTGTTGAACCCAGGACTGATGGACGGTACCCTAAAATATTTCTTCCTTTTCTTTTTGGGACTTAGCTGGTAATTTTATGGGCGCCTTCTGTATTGCCATTTTCCCACTTGCCCCATTTGCCTACATGGTCTTTAGGATCTTATCAGTAAAACCCAAGAGAATCCACTGAATGGGGATTAAATAATAATATAGTTCAGTTAGGTCAAGAATAATAATTGGCATTTTACAAAAGCCATAATTCAGTTGGGCAGTACCCATAAAAATGCTGGCACTCTCTAATTAAAAAGTGCAAATGAAAAAAAAAGATATTTTGATTATCATGGGCAAAGTGAAAATAACTGAAATCTAGTGAGGGTGGGAAAAGGCATTTTCATACTCTGCTGGTGCAAGTATTCATTTATTATAAATATTACAGATGACAGTTTAGCAACTTACATGTCAAAAGCTCCTGAAAAGGCCATGCCACTTAAGATCTGCTTCTAGAATTTAGCCTAAGGAAATAGTAATTGAACATGTGCACAGATACGTATGTACAAGGATGCTCATTGCATCAGTGTTTATAAAAGCAGCAAATTGGAAACAATTTATATGTTCATCAGCAGAGGAAATGTTTATATTGTGGTGATTAAACATGACACAGAGCTTTATATAAAGCTAGAAAAATGTCTATGATAGATGTTTATAAAACAGTATGTAGGGTATGGTACCATTTTGGTTAGTGTGAAAACCTGAAAGGAAATACTCCAAAATACTAAGTTCAGCTGAGCTCTGGGATGTGGGATTACATATGACTTTTATTTATTCCTTTTTACTTTTCCGTATCTTCAGAATTTTTTTATATTGAGTATATATTACTTTTATCATCAGGGGGAAAAAGGTGATTTTTTTTTTTCTAAGAAAAAAGTAAACAGAGCTCATGCTACATGCAAGGCTCAGCAGAGAGCTCAGAGTGACCAAGACATGGCCACTGGCCTTCAGAAGTTAATAGTGTGGTTAACAGAGTGGGAAAGGAGACTGATTTGTACAAATATTCTGGATCACTCTTGAGTACACCTTGATCATTATAGCATCACCATCAAGGGATCTTTGTGGAATATCCTGACATGCTTGACTCTAAAACAAACCAGAGTCCTAGTTCTGGATACACCTTCCTCCTGGAACGGGCCTTCTTTCCACCGACTTCCTTCCCATCAACATTCCTGAATGCCTGAGTCCAGTCAAAAACATGCTCATTCCCTCCAAGACACCAGTTACTGAGCTGACTTCTTGTTTGGCTCCCTTGTGTGTCCACACATTTCTCCTTATCCCTGTTAACTAACAGGTTACTCCCTCTTCTTCTACCCTGCTTTCCACAATACCAGTCTTTCCACCTTCAGCATCAAGCCTTCCATACTGGCAGTGCCTGGCATTTTTCTTTCTACTTTGCATTTTCTCACTATTACTTGTTTTTACCAGCTGAGGAGGGGACCTAATAAAAGGAAAGAATTCGTCCTGGTCATTTTTCTCTCTACACAATTGTGTAAAGCAAAGAAATTCCACTATTACTTATGCTTTGAATCTCCCTGAATTCTCCTACAGTTAGGGAAAACACTTGAGAATATATCTCATAACTGTATGGCATGTAAATAAAATTTCATTGTGCTCCGTATTTTGTGAGATCTAAATATTTACATAAAGGCTTTTGCTTCTAAACTTTGGTTTCCCTAGAACTTGCTCTGTGCATGGATTCAGGGTTTACTGAAAAATAGAAGATCCAATATTTTCACTTTAGTTCTCTGCTATGATTAAAGTTTGCTTTTTTCCTATTGTGTCCTTGGAATTAATTAGCTTTGTTTTACTGGTCTGAAAGACTGCAGAGAGTCACATTTTTTCCACATTCACATATCAGTTGCTCTTTAATTGTGTGCGTATTTTGATACTGTTTATTTTTCATAATGTAATTCCTCAACTATTATTGTTAGGCATTACACCTTTCTTGCATCCTGCCTCGTATAAAGGACGAGACCATTACCCAAATAAGCTCGGACAACTCTCCAATATCATAGTAAATGACAGCCATATTAGGAATAGACTATTTGAAAGTTCTGGAGATATAATCAGATGTCACTTGCTGTCCAGGGCAAGTTTCAAACACCCTTACACATAAAAGTTTGAGCAAAAATCCCAGTTGGACTGTTTTTTAATGAAGATCTTGGACAAATAAATGCAGCATTTTAAGCTCTAGGAATAGATGCCTCTGTTGTGGAATGGGACTTCCAATCTTGTTTTTGCCAGGTTATTTGAGGACCCGATTTGTGGACGCTTGAGAAGAATGAGATTGGACAAATGTTCAGCAGCAAGTCATTTCATGGTCTTGCCCAGTGCTGATATCGGGGATTCCAGGAGGCTGCTTAGTAAGATGGGCCACTCACACAGTGGTTTCCCAGGTCCTCTCTTACCCCAGCCCCTCTTTCTCCACCTAGAAGACACACCTCATATGACCCTTCATATACCTGAAGCATCCTAGTCAAGAAGTGTAAGTCCTTAGGGGAGCCTGGGTGGCTTAGTCGTTAAGCGTCTGCCTTCAGCTCAGTTCATGATCCCAGGGTCCTGGGATCGAGTCCCACATCGGACTCCCTGCTCAGCGGGAAGCCTGCTTCTCCCTCTCCCACTCCCCCTGCATGTGTTCCCTCTCTCGCTGTTTCTCTCTCTGTCAAATAAATAAATAAAATCTTAAAAAAAAAAAAAAAGTCTAAGGCCTTATTTCAGTCAGAGATTGCTTATGAGAAATTTTCGTACCAAGTAATTATTGGAAAATGCTCATCTTGGGGCTTGTCTTTCTGCCCACTAGGACGTTCTTTCTCAGTCTCTTGTCCTATAGTAAGTACAGAGGTCTCAGCCAGACCCAGGGATGGGACTGGTACCCACCCGTACGTCTTAGCCAATAGCAAAAAATTTTCAAGTTCTTAAATTCACAACTCTAGCTTAAAAGCACTGGGCACAGTATTTTGCTGCTGCATTTTTTATCCTGATTTGGTTGAGGCGAATCCTGCCCTCTGGGGCTTTTTGTTGAAGGAGCCGCCCCACAAATAAAAGAGGAAAAGAAGCCAGCTGAGAGGAGGGAGGCCTGGATAACATCATTTGCATGATTCACACCTGACCTTCTTTCTTATTCCCTGTCCTGTTCTCCTCAGCCAAGCTCTTACTGCTCAGACCAGCATGTCTCCTCTGTATTCCAAGTGTGAAATGTCAGAGGTAGCAGCCAAAGATAGAGGTGGTCAGGTCACTATTCCATAGTGGTTGGCAGCATGGGTTTTGATATAATGACGAATGAACATGGGTTGGTTTTTTTAACCCCTGCAGCCTTTAACTTAAAGTACCACATTAGGTCAGGTGGCCACCAATGCATAAATGAATGTTGGATTGGTGGAATCTAGTATCCTTTGGACCGGTGAGGGCATTGGGTATTTTTGTATCCTTTGGGTAAATACCTAGTAGTGCAGTTGCCGGATCCTAGGGTAGTTCTATTTTTAACTTTTTGAGGAACCTCCATACTGTTTTCCAGAGTGGCTGCACCAGCTTGCATTCCCACCAACAGTGTAGGAGGGTTCCCCTTTCTCCGCATCCCCACCAACATCTGTCGTTTACTGACTTGTTAATTTTAGCCATTCTGACTGGTGTGAGGTGGTATCTTACTGTGGTTTTGATTTGTATTTCCCTGATGATGAATGATGTCGAGCATCTTTTCATGTGTCTGTTGGCCATCTGGATGTCCTCTTTGGAAAAATGTCTTCTTTCAGGGTTTTTGTGTCTCATCTTGGTGTCAAAAAGAGTAAAGATCAGGTTTTGAGTAGGGACCAAGAAAGGCAGAGAGGTCAGGACTTGAATAATTCATCACTGAACAATCAAGTCATTTTTAAAGAGGTTCAACAGTATTTATCCTGAGAGATTATTAAAATTTTACTTCATTAGAGCAAAACTTTAGGAGAGGAATTCTTATTCTTTCCAATTTTAGTATATGTGCTGCCGAAGTGAGCACTACTTATTCTTTCCTGCATTGAGTTTCCCCCTTCTTCCCAATTGCCTAGTAGGAAGTCTTCTACCAAGAGATGGG